ACATATTATAATATTGATAATCTTCTCTACTTTTGTGATCGATCATGTCTGTCCCTAATTAATGCAACCATTAGCGGTTATGAGCCAGCTGGCGCTGCAGAATCAGAAGTTCAACAAATGGTTCATGACAATTCTAGCCCAGGCGATGTGATTATCTATAGAAATGGCACAGTATTGACGAAGCTCATGGGGATTTATGGCAAAAGTGAATGGACGTCGCTTAGTGCCCCCCCCCCCCCCCCCCCCCCCCCCCCAAAAAAAAAAAAAAAAAAAAAAAAAAAACTGGCATATGATTTCACTACGTTTAATATGAGAATAGAGGTGGAGGCAATAACTGTAACCTTTCGCTGGCTTAAGAATCAGCTGTAAGCACATGTAATTGTAACCGACTTTTAGAGCATGTGGAGAAAGGTGAAGATTATTATTCCTCCGTGAATAGTGACAAGCATCGCTTCAAAGGTCTCGAGCAGTTAGCGTCCTTTGGATATATTCCTCAGGAAATGCCGGTATATTATGAAATGAACAGACAGAAAAAGACTGCACAATTTATTGTCTGGCATATTTCGCTGTATCTCGTCAGGTGCATACTACAGTAACAAGTGAATAAATGAAGCAAATAGCTGAATCCTAAAAACTGAAACACAAATTCGAGTACATTCTACACTGTCTGTTTCACCAAGGTAACCTTAAGGAAACTACCATTTCTTTCTGCCTACAGAGATCCGGTTTTAACCGGTGGATTGCGGAAGCTTCCACGTATCTGAGTAATCTACGGTTGGCCGATTTGTAAATAATTCGAAATGCATCATCCCTGTTAATGATGTGCCCGGAATTTAGAATGTGGCACGCAATTGCTGATGATGGATTTTGTCGACCAGTCACCTGATTCGTTGTTGTTGAGGTGTTAGTGTTTTGCATTGCTTTTACCAGAAAAAGACTGGCTGGTTCAGTACAACTTGGTGGTGAACTTATGCATGACAAGCTAGATGTTGTTGGAGCCCTGGGGGATTGGGGGGGGGGGAGCGAGTGAACAGTGCGAAGCAAAGATGGATTATCATGGTTTAAAGAGAATGTTACTGCAAGGTGTAAGCAGAGGATGTAGTCAACGATCAGCCCTCAGCGGAAAGAAGAGGCGGATATACAATCAGACTGCTACTGGTACAACTGGAATTTGAAATCTCTTGCTAGTGAGGCAGATGGGAAATTAGCGCTTATGGGAATGTGCCGAGTGCTGGGATGTCGATTCTTCATTAAACATTAAACATAAGCGGCTGGAAAGCAATCGTTGTTAGTTACTCTGGCCGTCCAAGGTATTCGTAACATTCATCTCAGAAACTACATCTTTGTTGCTTCCAAATTCTTCCTAATTTGTTCACTGGCGTTCCAAGATTCGCTGTCATTCAGCAAAACAGGTTCTATTTAACATTTGAGCACGTCTACTTTATCATATAGCAGTTCACCGCCCAGAGGCGTGGCAGCAGCTAGTCTAGCAAACTTTTCGTTACCCCACTTAATAGAATGTAGTGGGCAGAAAATTGGCATGTACCTTGTCTGAGTCTTATTAAACGATGCAAGGCACTCTACGCTTAAGATACCAGTCTCTACTTTTTGAATGCTCTGCGAGTCTGATAAATTACAGCACGTCGAGCTTCTGCTGCCTCCAACTCCATTCTGATGCTTGAAGTTGTGATAATTATTTCCTATACAAAATGAATGACAGACCACGTGATGCCCACAACATTACACACCGACTGCCAACTGGTTTATATGTGAGAATTGTCATTGCTTTTGTCCCCCTTTACTTTACAGCTGTGAATTGACTCCCTTTGTGGACTCCCTTTGTCTACTGGCAGCCAACGATTTTAGAATTCATCTCACGAGTTTAATATTTAATTAAGAAACACTCATGACATTCCCATAAGTGCTCCGTCCCCATCTTCAGTAGCAAGCGCCGAGTTCCAATTCCAGTAGTACTTAAAGAAGTCTGATTGTATATCCTTCTCCCCTTTCCATTGAGTGCTGATTGTCAACCAGATACCCTAGGTCGCTCCTCGCAGTACCATTCTCCTCAGACCGTAATGATCCATCTGTTCCTCCTCACTGTTCACTCGCCCCCAAAAGGCCCTTACAAAAATCTGGCGTGTCATGCATCATACCAAGGAACAGAACAACTGACTACACCACGCTACAAGCTCATCATCATCATCATCATCAAGTGGCTTGTTGACTGGCGTGGGCGATCATGCCTCTCCACAATCTGCGATCTGCAAACTGCGTCTATCCGTTCGTGTGCTGACACCCCTTCCTGCCATGACAAAAGACTATCAAGAATCGCCCCCCTCTGTCTTCTTCTGTCTCTCTTTCCACAAGTCTTTCCAGTGGTTACAACATGTTCCATCTTCCTTCTTCTCGTAACATGACCCCAAAAAAATGACGACTGTCTCTTTCTGATGTTCATGATAAGTTGTCTTCGAACATACAAGCTACATAAGCTAAATTCACTAGAACAGATCAGCTGACTATACTAACAAACATGCCACACAAACGCAGTTAAAAAGAAATCCATCCATAACTAACATTAACAAGTAGGTGCGCAACCACTAAGTAGCGCCCTCAGACACTTCATTCAACCTTATTTTTAAACATTTTCTAGTTATAAACTGGGAGGGGGCGATTTAAAGGTGGCCGGGGGCGGGGGCGGGGGTGGGGGGGGGAGGCGCTCAAGCCCTACTGAACCGTATCTATCAGAGTGCCGTATCTCTCAGTTTCGTTACCACAAATACTACAAACAGGTAATCATTTATATCAAAAAAAGGTCATGATTGACAAGGATTATCTAGTAATACATAGCAAACTGGCAGCCCCTCACTCTTTTTAAAAATTAATTAGCCCCCTGACATAAATTCTTTGTGGGGCCCCGGGGGTGGGGAGGGGGGATAAGGTTACCAAATTCTGGCTCCCCTGATTGTGCAAGTCGAGGTTAGTATTTCCTGTATAACATTATTTTTAGCCTCACCCTCTCTCTCTCTCTCTCTCTCTCTCTCTCTCTCTCTCTCTCTCTCTCTCTCTCTCTCTCTCTCTCTCTCTCTCTCTCTCTCGTCCTCTCTTTCTCTCTCTCTAGGATAAACAACTCAAGTTCAGTCACCATACAGATTCACGTCGGTGAAAATTCGACGTCACGTCATTCAGGGCAAGCCCGTGTTATTCCGTCTCCTTCTTCAACAGCCAGCGAATAATCTCTGAGGGTCATCTGGTTAACTACTGGTCTTTCCTTTCGCCCGAGTGGCACCCCGAACCCGCGGACACTCCCCGCTGCATCATTCTCTCCCTGTATAGGTTTTCAACAATTTCTATTTTACTTGTTACCTCGTCTCATGGGCCAGAGATTATCGCTGCCTTGTGCACCTGCAGTGCACCCGTCCCCCCCCCCCCTCCCAGGGTGGGGCTAATTCAGCCAACATTTCTGCCTGCTCGTTCCCAAACACACCTACATTGCCGGACAAAATATCCACGTCAATCTCAAAATCTGCGATCTTTAAATTGTAGCGACCAATTCCACTCGAAGACTCCCTGACTTCACCCTCATCAGCATGCTTGACGAATCCGATACATTGACAATGTGTTGAGCTAAGACTTTCTCTACTCAACGGAACGCGTCAATTGCTACCTCAACCCTCACTCTCATGTTGGATGTAGTAATGTCGTGTTCCAAGCTCTACTCAGTCACCCACCTCCCTCATCCTTTTGCAACGAAGCTCCATTTGCTCTTTCTAGCAATGATCCATCAGTGTATATGACCACCTAGAGGGGTCCTCTATCAGCTGTTGAACCCATCGTATACACAACAAGCCGCCCATTCCTTGCATTCTTGCCCCAGGTAATTAGCGCTTTGTGTAGCTCTTCTCTGTGCTCTCGGTTATCCTCTGAATAGCGGGCACATATTATGGTGGCTAAAAACACACCCGACCGAGCATCAGTCACATGTAAATTGCGAACTTCCGGCAACTACAGCCACCGCCGCGGGGCTAAACTAGATGGCTGGGACTGAAGGAAGGAAGCTGTAGGAGATGCGGTAGCTGCTGCTCGTGAGTCCCATGCATCTAGTTTAGCCCCGCTCCACGCCACGCGTAGCGGAGTGGGAGATACTCTTGGCGATGGCCGTATCGCCGGAAATTCGAATTTTACATGTGACTGTTGTTAGGGTGTGTTTTTGGCCGTTAAATATGTGCCCATTATTCGGAGGATAGCCGCGCTCTCCTGCTATCTATTCTCCTTCTCGGCTAATCTCCTTAATGTTGCAGACATTGCTGACTGACTTTTTAGGATCTGCCCCCATTTGTTACCTGTCACCCTTCACAATGTCCAATTCCCTGTAAAGTACATGTTCTGTATTACTTACAACCCGTGACGTGGCGGCTAGACGGAAAGTCGTGTGTTCGCTCCCTGGCGGAGCCGGACTTTTTTTTTTCAAAATCGACCTCGACTCCCAGGTCGACCCAGCCTTGAGTGTGTACCGGGTACAGTTCCTGGAGGTAAAGGCAGCCGGCGTGATGCTGACCACATCGCCCATCTTGTGCCGATTGGTCTATGAAGATAAAGGTCTAGCCCTATATGCCCTGTACGCTTAAAGGCGTAGAATAGGGACCTTTACTTTACTTACGTACTACTTCAGCTCTACGATGATACCAAGCAATGGCTTGCGAAGCAATGATATGTCAAACATATTCATATGGTGTTACCCTTCTGCGTTATAGTTAAAACATTTCTCGTTTGTGAGAGCTCTTCCATGGAGAGGTTATTTTAGTATACAGAAACTGGTTTTTCACCCGTAGAGAGTAGATATGTGTAACCAATGACGCTTTTAGTTTCTCCATAATGTCTTTTAGTAACGGTAACTGATAGTAGGTTTTTCTAGCTAAATAATTCAGCGAAGGTAGTGACAGTGAAGGATTCTAGTCATAAATATAAACCACGAAATTATAATCCGTTTTATATAAATTATGATCCGTTCAAGAATTTCATTTGGCAGCATGACCTCTTCAGGAAAAGGAAAAGTAAGTTGGATTCCTTCATGTGTAATGTGTAGTCATGTGTAGCAATATTAGTAATATATTGGCTCTACTTTGATACGTCTAACTTAAAAAAAATATAGTAAAATTATTTTACAAATAATTGCAATGTTCACAACAAATCAGTACTGTGCAGCAATCCAGTCAATACGGTATTAAATAACTGAACAAGCGAAACGTATTTGTATTTAAAAATAATGTTATATTATATTAAACATATAAATATTAAGGATTAGAAAAGACACAAACGCTATATCCAACTAGGGTTCAACAGAATATCTACTATTGAATTTTGTCAGCCTCTGACTAATAATAAAGACTGTCTGCAAGGAAACCTCAACATTAAGAAAGTTTGTCTTTCAATGTGTGTGTTTTACTCAGACACATCACTGTTAGTTCGTAGCATTAAGAAACTGGTATGGTTTTTTTATGTTAAATCTCCTTACTGTTTTTATATAACTCTTCGGCGCTCCTTTGAATAATTCCCCTAAATGGCGGCATGCCACATTCTGGCCATAAAATATCCCAAAATATCTGAACGACGGTGTTCGCGTATATCTAAAATACGGACTGTCTGCCAAGGAACAAATCGTGGCAAAACTAGGATTACTTGACAATCAATATTTCCACACGGTACTAGTAGCAGACGATAAATACCGACCAATGACAACAAATTAGAGCGTTTCTGCAGACGATACTAGCAGACGATATTAGCGACCGTTGACCAATTTCGAGACATTAAAGACCATGAAAGCCGATTAGCACTACTCCGTTCTTCTGATTGGAGGATTTAGCAGCGGTAGATGTCAGACTTGTTGGCATGCGCCAAACGCATTTAAACTAATCGCCGAGTGTATCCCACGCACCGCTACGCGCGGCACGGATGGGGGCTAAACTTGGTGCCTGGGACTTACGAGTACAGTAGTTGGAAGAAGTTGCAGGAGATGCGGTAGCTGCCGCTTGTGAGTCCCAGCCATCTAGTTTAGCCCCCATCCGCGCGTAGCGGCGCAGATTATACGCTCGGCGGTGAGGCACACTCGCAGAAGCAGGTCGGCAAGCAACGTATCGCCGAAACCCCCTGTCAGAGCATTTGTTTCGTTATCCGGAGCCGGCACATATATTTTTAATAGACCTGACCCGCATTCGGATATTTTTGAGATATTTTATGGCCAGACATTGGCCAATTTAGCTCTCTTTTGAATGCCATCATATTAAAGCCGCCATTTTGGGGAACGATTCAAAGGAGAGCCAACTCTTCAATATGTAGTAATATAAGATTTATTGCGCTCTTAGTATAAAAATAATTTATTATTCTCATAAGTTTCTTCTTCTGCATTCATCCAAAGATGTCATTGCATTATGTCCATTGACAGCATGGCTGTGATATTTGGGCCTTTCGGCCAACACATCTGACTTCAACTCTCCCTCAAACTTAACAGGACCTCGACCTCAGTCAGGTGTAAAATGTGGAGTGCCTGCCGAGGTACAAATCGCATCACAACTAGGATGGCCTCCGAATAACGAGCCAATATTATCGAGGGCAAACGAAGGCTCTAACAGGGTCTCAGTGATATGTTAATTGCAGACCTGTTTCTGCGACTATGCTGCACCACCGACTGTATCCCCCACGCCGCTATGCGTGGGGCTGATTGGAGGCTAAACTACATGGCTGGGAATCACGAGTAAATAAATTGGAGGAAGTTGCAGGGGATGCTTTAGCTGCTGCTCGTGATCCTAGCCATCTAGTTTAGCCCCTAATCCACGCTGCACGTAGCGACACGGGGAGTTTAATTAGAAGAACACTATCGCTAACCTGCGTCAGGGTGCATGGTCTCCCCGCCATGTCACTATTATTGTATGTATTGTTGCATTTATTAAAAGAGTAAATGGACAGTAATCCTGGTTTTTTGCAGCAATGTGTTCGTCGGAGGAAGTCTGAATTTTACACACGACTAAAGCCCTGTTAGGGTATTTGTTTGGCGGCCATAATATGAGGACCAAGTTCGGAGGAGAGCCGACTTCTGCAGGAATTTGTTGACTGGCTTAGCCTTCCTAGATTGTGATTGGTTTTATCTTTAGAAGTAATTGTCTTCAAAGATGGCATATGCATTTCTTACAAATTCTATGTATGGATATTAGTTCTAGTAATAAATTGCTTGCTCTTGCAACAATTTTTCCATCAACATAGGTAATTTACACAGATTCATTGGCTGCAAGAGATCTCAACATAAGCAAATGCACTCTGACTTTGAAGGAAACACACCTAATTAGGACAGGCTTTTTTGGGGGGAGAAGGGGAGGAGGCAGTGGTTCAATTCTTTTTTTTTGCCCTCCCAGTGGGACCCCTAAATCTACATGGGAATGGCAAGAAATCCCAGAAAACAACCACACAAAGCTGAAAGTTGTCTTTTTCTTCTTCAAGCATTTGTATTTACTCTTCCAGGCTCTCACATATATGCACAATCGACAGAAAGCATCCAAGGGTATTATAAGGTGAGAAGGAAAGAAAATTATTCTTTAATAAATCGAGAGGAAGGTGAGATTTTTTTCATTTTAAAGTCTTTAATGAGGATCAAGAAACTGAGAAAAGAAAGCTTATACAAATAATTTAGATTTTACAGATTTAGTTCTTAGTAATTAATTTATTTTAAAAGTTGTGATTGTTGGTTTGCTGGCTTACTGGTTTCATTGTAGTTGTTAGTTTGCTGGCTGGCATACTGCGTTTATTGTAGTTGTTAGTTTGCTGGCTTACTGGGTTTATTGTAGTAGTCAGTTTGCTGGCTTACTGGGTTCATTGTAGTAGTTAGTTTGCTGGCTTACTGGGTTCAATGTAGTTATTAGTTTGCTGGCTTACTGGGTTTCATTGTAGCTGTTGGTTTGCTTCTTACTGGGTTTATTGTAGCTGTTGGTTTGCTGGCTTACTGGGTTTATTGTAGCTGTTGGTTTGCTGGCTTACTTGGTCCATTGTAGCTGTTGGTTTGCTAGCTTATTGGGTTCATTGTAGCTGTTGGTTTGCTTGTTTACTGGGTTCATTGTAGCTGTTGGTTTGCTGGCTTACTGGGTCCATTGTAGCTGTTGATTTTCTGACTCACTGGGTTTATTGTAGCTGTTGGTTTGCTGGTTTACTGGGTTCATTGTAGCTGTTGGTTTGCTGGCTTATTGGGTTCATTGTAGCTGTTGGTTTGCTGGCTTAATGGGTTCATTGTAGCTGTTGATTTTCTGACTCAATGGGTTCATTGTAGCTGTTGGTTTGCTGGCTTACTTGATTCATTGTAGTTGGTGGTTTGCTGGCTTACTGGGTGCAGTCCCCAGGAGGGACTGGATTACTTCATTTAACTAGTACAGATTCAAATCATGGATAGTCAACAGATTGGTTAAAACAAAATGTATCGTTAATCGAGTTTCTGACCTTGCTGCAGACAGGTCACACCGTAACTACTTTGTTCCTGTGCTAATGGAAATCACACAAAACAAAATTTTTATCACTGTCCTATTTGAAAACTAGAGAACTTTTTTTTAGTCCCTGCAAAATGTTGAAGCTTGCACATGCAAATAAAAAAAATGTGTAGGGCAGTTGTCAGAGGTGCCAGTACCAACAGTTCCACGCCAGAATTGCAGTTCACTGCTGGTGCAAATAGTGAATCATGAAAGCCAAGCTGGCAGTATGTAATACAAAATAACCAAACATATGTGGAAGCTTCAAAGATGGGGTTTTATGGAAGAATTATGAGAATATCAAGGAAGGCAGACAGTATAATGTTTTGAAAGAACTTACTTCTGTAAGAGATCTGATTTGAAACTGTGGTGACAGTGTGAAATCGTTAACTATGACCATTAACATTTATGAAAAGGACACATAATAATGATAAGAAATATCTGTCTTTATTCTTCTTTTATCCTCTCTCATTCGAGCATAGGTTTTGAACTATCTTATGTCAGGTCCTTCTAACCCTTCTTAGCTACTTTATTCCGCCATCTCCTGGTGAGATGCAATTTTTACATTATTTGAAGCCCTACTCTGGCTCTTGCCAGGGTCTGCAGTATAACCCGGCCCTAAATATGGTCTAATTGCTGAACGCGGTTTCTGGGACCTCTCCACAGGTGATCCTCATCCACATGGTGGCACTTTGTGTCATCAGGTTTTTATCGCTTGTGTGATGTTCTGGTGGGGTAAAAATCTACTGCCTACTACTACTTTTCTTAGCAGCATGTTTGAACTTGCATATCTTTCCCATATTTCACATCTAAGTTTGTGATTTTTCTTCTCCATGTGTGAATGTTTTTTTTTTATTTTGTCTTGCCAATCTCAAGGTAGGTCTTTATATTTATGCTATAAATTTATTTTCCAGTATATATTCTTTTTCTTCTTCATATTTACTGGCTTATTTATTGGCTGTACAGTCTGGTTATTTGTCGACCTCTGAACTTTAATCTTGTTCCTGACCTTGAGTTTTGCATGCACTTCCATTTCACAGATCTGACTTTTTTGTACTCAGACTGTTGGTTTCTTGCCTCTGTGGCAGATGAACTTCGACTCCAAAAGAAACATCCCTGTGTGGATGGGGTCTATTCTTCCCCCTCCCCTCCCCCCTCCCCCCACCCAAAAAAAAGAACCAGAACCAACAAGGTGGCAGGTGCAAGTACCAATGCTTCTCTTCTTGATTTACTGCAGTTTCTGTAGTTTTATGCATAAGCTCCACATTGCTGATTCTGTTATACCATTTTCGTTGTAATATATAAGTGACTGTATTTTCCGCTCTCATGTTTCTGATGCATGCAGCTGTACTGATTTGACATTAGGAGTGCAATATTAAGAGGAAGGTACCGATTTTGCCTTTGTTTTAGAGATCAGACTGGCATATCCTAGCAGGTGACTAATTAGGGGTGCTTTCTTCAAAGTCCGAGTGCATCCGTCTGAAAGGCAAGTGATCAACAGTCTGCATATAGAAAAGAAAGGTTTGTAAAATGGATGTCCATGCAAAACTCAAGTTCTGATTCAAGGACAGAGTCCGTGAGTGGATGACCAGCTTGAACATCCACCAGAGGTCACAGCCAGTGAACACGAAGAAGAAGAGAATAAATGCTTTTCACAGCTGTAAAAATCTTGAAGGCTCACAATAATATGCGGTTGAACTATTTATAATGTAGTAATGTCAAAATAATTTATTTTAATTGCATGATCTGTGAAACAGGCATTTAAATATATTGTAATTGAAACAGACTTTGTTGATTTAAGTTAGAATTAAGATCTCTTGTTTTCTCTATTATTTCCCATCTCTAAACTTGTGTTATCTGCACTTATTTTGCCTCATACATAAGTTAATGTTTATTGCAAGAAAATATTATTTTAATATTGAAAATAAAATTTTGCCAGCGATCGTGAGATCCGATTCAAGTGTTTTTCAACAAACACAATTCTTGATGTTCTCCGAGCTAGGCCTGGATGGCAGGAAGTGCAGGGGTAAGTATGACTTGTATGTGTGCATACCTTAAAGAGACTGTAAACTCTGTTACATAAACTGTGATTCATTTGGTGAGTCATTTATACATTACATGGAGGCTCACAGTAAATGTCCCCCTTGTGCTCAATCTTGTGCAGTTTGTTTGGCAAGCATCACTTCAAGGGTCCTGGGCAGCTAGCATCCTTTGGATATTCTCTCTAGGTAATGCCGGTGTGTTGGGAAATGAGCATTCAGATAGACTGGCCGGTTCTGCACCACTTGGTAATGAACTGATGTATGACAAGCTGGATGTTGTGAGGGCTCTTTTAAAGCGACTGAACAGTGCAGAGGAACAGATAGATCATTACGGTCTGAAGAGAATGGCACTGGGAGGAGTTACAAGGGGATCTGACCGACACTCACCACTCAGGGAAAGGCGAGACGGATATACAATCAGACAGTTACTGGTACCATCTGAATTTTAACTCTTCGCCTCCTCCTGAAGATGAGGACGGAGTGCTTATGGGGGTGTCCCAAGTGCTGTGATGTCAATTCTTAACTCAACATTCAGCATTAAACATTCAATGTTTCATTATTATGTATGGACTGGCACCTTTAGATACTCTCACCAGTTTTGTAATTTTACTGTAGGGTTTCTTTGGAATTTCCATACATTCATCAGTCCATTTTTTTAGAGTGTATGTTTTGTGAGCCTTTGTCCACGTAATCTCAGAGTGTACACAGTGGTGATAAATTTTATTTCTGTTCTTCATAGATAGATTCCCTACTAGTATCCCTAAGGGCATCCTTTATGGCGAATTACAGATGGGTGAAAGTATCCCTAAGGACATCCTTTATGGTGAATTACAGATGGGTGAAAGTATCCCTAAGGGCATCCTTTATGGCGAATTACAGATGGGTGAAAGTATCCCTAAGGGCATCCTTTATGGCGAATTACAGATGGGTGAAAGTATCCCTAAGGGCATCCTTTATGGCGAATTACAGATGGGTGAAAGTATCCCTAAGGACATCCTATATGGCGAATTACAGATGGGTGAAAGTATCCCTAAGGACATCCTTTATGGCGAATTACAGATGGGTGAAAGTATCCCTAAGGACATCCTTTATGGCGAATTACAGATGGGTGAAAGTATCCCTAAGGACATCCTTTATGGCGAATTACAGATGGGTGAAAGTATCCCTAAGGACATCCTTTATGGCGAATTACAGATGAGTGAAAGTATCCCTAAGGACATCCTTTATGGCGAATTACAGATGGGTGAAAGTATCCCTAAGGACATCCTTTATGGCGAATTACAGATGGGTGAAAGTATCCCTAAGGGCATCCTTTATGGCGAATTACAGATGGGTGAAAGTATCCCTAAGGGCATCCTTTATGGCGAATTACAGATGGGTGAAAGTATCCCTAAGGGCATCCTTTATGGCGAATTACTGATGGGTGAAAGTATCCCTAAGGGCATCCTTTATGGCGAATTACAGATGGGTGAAAGTATCCCTAAGGGCATCCTTTATGGCGAATTACAGATGGGTGAAAGTATCCCTAAGGGCATCCTTTATGGCGAATTACAGATGGGTGAAAGTATCCCTATGGACATCCTTTATGGCGAATTACAGATGGGTGAAAGTATCCCTAAGTACATCCTTTATGGCGAATTACAGATGGGTGAAAGTATCCCTAAGGACATCCTTTATGGCGAATTACAGATGGGTGAAAGTATCCATAAGGGCATCCTTTATGGCGAATTACAGATGGGTGAAAGTATCCCTAAGGACATCCTTTATGGAGAATTACAGATGGGTGAAAGTATCCCTAAGGACATCCTTTATGGAGAATTACAGATGGGTGAAAGTATCCCTAAGGACATCCTTTATGGCGAATTACAGATGGGTGAAAGTATCCCTAAGGGCATCCTTTATGGAGAATTACAGTTGGGTGAAAGTATCCCTAAGGGCATCCTTTATGGCGAATTACAGATGGGTGAAAGGTCTGGTGACTGGCCTCTGCTACAAGTTAAACATGTGTACGTGGACACAAAGGATACACATACAAGGTATTGAGGTATATTCATAGGAACAAGATGCCATGAATCACATTGAATGAAGGTGGACAGTTAGGAAGGAATAAGGGACAAAAGTATTGCAGAAAAGAGCCGAGCATCTGTGAAGAAACATGCCAAAAACATGTGATGGCTGCAACGATCCAAGATTATTGTGCACTTGTGGAAGATTATTTCTAACGCAAATTAGTTATCACCACAGGATGTTATTCCAATGCCTGCCTATAGCACAGTGGAATACTGTCATGGGGAATGATGGAAAGGTGCCAGTAAGATAGATTCCACTATTGTCCTATTAGTTATATTTGCAATATTTTCCTCCTTCAGAGATGGATTCCACCATTGTCCAGCTAGTTATGTGTGGGATTTTTCCTCTAATTCAGAGATAGATTCCACCATTGTTCATGTAATTAAATGTGTAATTTTTCCCTTTCTTTAAAGATAGATTCCACTTCACTGCAATATTTCCCTATTTCAGAATTAATTTTTATAATTGAACCATTAGTTATGCATGCAATATTTCCCTCCTTCTTCAGAGATGGAGAGTGGGATTTTTTCTGGTGCGACAGAGAATGGCTGCATACAAATTATGACACCATGTTTCTTCATGAACATCAAAAAATCCTCCATTTTCGGAATCATTATGAGGTAATAAATATACATCATGATCAGCATGTGCCATGCCGTTAAATTTAAGTGGTCAATTTTTAATTATCTCGTATGGTCAACAGAATCACAGCTCAAGATCTTGCCCAAGTCATGAGACCAACCCGGCCAGGTCTGTAAAATCATGATTCAATGTAAACTGATGGATACAAATAGTTCCTTGTTTATGTTCCATTGTCTTCTTCAGGTGCTTGTCCAGAGCAGACGTCAGTGATCATATCTCTCCAACAACGACCGGCTCCAACTGAGAGGCCGTGCTGCTGATGTCATCGGGTCAGGCTAATGATGCGTTAATGCAGCGGTTCTCAAACTGGCTGCCGAGGCACCCTGATGTGCGGTGCGCGTATGCCAGGGGTGCCGCAGCAATAATCAAGAAAAGTCAGCTAAAAATTGTGAAATTATTAAAGAGGGCATGCAGATACTTAAAAGTTGACATTTAAGTTGTCTTTCCCTGCCACTGTCAAAAATAGATTATTTCTTGTTTGAGAACTGCTGCGTTAACGCATTGTTAGCCCCATCCAGTGATGTCAGCAGAACAGCCCATCAGCTGGAACCGGTCATGTTCCAACCCGCTCTGTTGTCTGATATTTTGATGAATTTGATGTTTCTTATTTTATTATTTGCTTGTCTTGAATGCTCTGATGAAGAATCTTTACCCAGCTGATCCAGATGAGTTATTTTATTATTTAATGCTTGGCTATTTAAATTTGTTACATACTTATTTTCTGTCTTACCTCTGCCTCTCTTTTCTGTCATTTCCTGTGTGTCCAATATATCTTCACCATCATATAAGTCATCCCCTTGCGGGATGCAATTTTTCATTATTTTAAGCCCAACCCTAGCCGTTGTCAGGAACCCTAATATAACCTAACGGTTAAATGGGGTTTCTGGGAACTCTCCACGGGTGATCCTCATCCACATGGTGGCACTTTGGGTCACCAGGTGTTTATCGCTCTGTTAGTAAGTTAGTTGGATTATCATCATTGCACTCCGGACATGTCCATAGGTGCTCAGATCCTCCCTCAGTATGAACCCCAACGTCCGATGGATAATAGTACCAGTTCTATATTGATTAACAAGTCTTCTGGCGTGTCTCATTTTTTGCTATGCCGATCTTAATTCCCAAATCTGCCATTCTGGTGAGTGATGTGGATTCACTGCACCCAATGTCCTTTATCCTTCCCATTTCTCTGAGGGCATTACTAATATCAGCATGATCCATAGGCTGACCGTCGGTAGTGATAGCGGATCCAGCCAACCTATCAGCTCTTTCATTTCCATTGACGCCTGTGTATCCCGGAACAAAAATAAAGGTGACTCCACGCACAGTGGACTTCTGTAATGATTCAAGCCATTGTCTTTGCTCTGTGTGATGTCCTGGTGGGGCCAAATTTACTTACTTATGATTAATATCTCTGTTCCACCTGTTCTTTTGAATGTTCCATAATATTCATTTGCCTTAACCTTATAATTGTAATGAATGGCCTGCAGCTCTGATTAATTAAGGATTTGCTTTCTTCTGTGTCACTGATATTCTCAGCATTCTTAAAAAAATCCTACATTTCCACTTTCTACAGTTTCTTCACTATTTCATTACTCTTAGTCTTCTTTCTCATTCTCCCTCTCAGCAAAATCACCTGTCAGTATAACCACTTCTGACTCAGATCTGCATTCACTGAGTAAAATTGATGCTGACAATTCCTGATCAGGTGATCTGATTATCTCTACAGATGGTTCAGTTTTGAGAGGAAAGAGAAGTGCCTAGCATATGACACCACAATATCTAGCATGAGAATGGAGGTGGAGGCGGTAACTGCACCTTTCCGGTGGCTAGAGAACAAGATGCATACACATTTCATAATTGTAACAGACTCGGAAAGCATGCTGAAAAAAGTGAAGACAGGGATGCATCGAGCAGAGTGGCAAGCTTCACTGGAAAGATCATGGGTGGTGAGAATATTTAGGATATTTTCTCCAGGCTATGCCGGCGTGATGGGTAATGAACAGGCAGACATATTTGCTGGATCCGCACCACTGGGTGGTGAATTGATACATGACAGGACAGATGTGGCCCAGTTCATTTGGGAACAAGCAACTGAATCAGTAGAGAAAGAAGATTATTATGGCCTGAAGAGAATGAGGCACCTGGGTGTAACCAGAGGGTCTGGCCGGCTCACTACACGCAAAGGAAAGGCAAGACAGACTTTTAACCAGATTGTGACCGGTACCATCAGTATTGGAACTCTGCGCTGGCTGCTGAAGAAGAGGACGGAGCATGCATGGGAATGCCCTCAACTCAGCTCAATTGATGCTGCTTCCTCCACTAACTTTGCCTCTGCTTTGTAACTCCAGGAGTTTATCCTGTAGAAAGGCTGCACTCTTTTGTAGCATCGTTTGTCCATTCAATATGGTTTCCACCTTCTTAATCCCTCACAGTTTCCTTTGCTGAGCCATTTTTGAATACTTATGTCTGTCTATTTTTGGGATGGTTTCCTTACTTGTTGTCCAGTGTTCACATCTGTAAAAATTATCTTTCCTTAGTGTGGCCTCACAAAACTTTTAAGTAAACATACTTATGTGCTTGTCATGATATTTCAGTGTTCACTACGTTGCTTATTCTTGTAAATGAATTGTAGAGATGGTGACTTCTGCTTTGCCTTTGTGTCACACTGACCTGTCGGAGGTCACTGTGTAGCATAGATATTGAAAATAATTGAGCTCTTTGATTTGAATGCCTTTATTAATGAAAGCTTTTTTAAATGTGTGCTTTCTTGAACACTATCTTGTTTCTGTTTTGCTAATACTTAATTAAAAAAATTTATTTCTGCTGTTCCTCACCACTTGCCTAGAAGAGTTTCCAGGAGTTTCAAGATCTACTTTTGTTTCATTGACATAGGTAGAGCAAATACGAGATGTATATACTATAAGAATTCTCTTGTGGGTAACTTTGTTCATTGTTAAAAGATTTTCATGAAGCAATACATTCTGTTTATTACTTCTAGCTGCTGAGATCTTTATTGTGTGTTGGGTTTCACATAACAACATATGACATGAGTCGAGCTGAATTAAGAACCACACCACAGCGCTCAGGATTTTCCCATAAATGTTCCAGTTTCATCTTTAGCGGTCACTGCAGAGTTCCATTTCTGATAGTAACAGGAGCAGTCTGATTGTTTGTCCATCTCGCCTTTCACCTCGTGTATCTAATCAATTTCCCTGGTCACTCCCTGCTCCCCCATTCTCTTCAGAATGTGATGGTCTGTTTGTGCCTCTAAACTGTTTACTTGCTCCCAAAGTATCTTGACAGCGTGTAGCTTGTACCACCTTATGTTGCAGAGCCAGCCAGTCTGTCTGCCTGTTCATTTCTCAGCACACCTACCTACCCTAGAGAAAATACTCAAAGGCACTAACTACGCAGGACCTCTGAAGTGATGCTTGCCACTCTGCATGAAGCATACCTGTCTGCACCATTTTATTTTTCAGCCTTCTGTTTGAGTCAGTTACAGTCACGACAGTATAGTTGTTCAGGAATTAATCTCTACAAATTTTGTTAGAGCCACCTTTAAGTGTTCTTTACTGGCCGTGAGTTGAAATAAAATCTCCTTCTTTACATTTGACAGCTGACTCGCAAAAACCTCATGGTGAAAAACCTGAAGCGGCTTCGCAAGCAGGTAGAGAGAGATCAGGGCAAGACTGAGGCCAATATGTACGTGATTGATATGTCTGTGACCTTTGTTTACTAGATATTGTTCAAATAACAAGTAAATTGCCCTTTTATATTCTCGGTAGACTGTGCATGTGGTGACCCACCCATATTTTATAAACCAGTATAATTCAGAAGGTGATAAGGTCAAAATCACGCTTGCCACTTTTACTTTCAAGCACGTACTGTATACATTTGCTTCCACTTACTTTCAAGCACATATTGTATACATTTGCTTCCACTTACTTTCAAGCACATATTGTATACATTTGCTTCCACTTACTTTCAAGCACATATTGTATACATTTGCTTCCACTTACTTTCAAGCACATATTGTATACAATTGCTTCCACTTACTTTCAAGCACATACTGTCTACATTTGCTTCCACTTACTTTCAAGCACATACTGGAGACATTTGCTTGCCACTTTTACTTTCAAGCACATATTGTATACATTTGCTTCCACTTACTTTCAAGCACATATTGTATACATTTGCTTCCACTTACTTTCAAGCACATATTGTATACATTTGCTTCCACTTACTTTCAAGCACATATTGTATACATTGGCTTCCACTTACTTTCAAGCACATATTGTATACATTTGCTTCCACTTACTTTCAAGCACATATTGTATACATTTGCTTCCACTTACTTTCAAGCACATATTGTATACATTTGCTTCCACTTACTTTCAAGCACATATTGTATACATTTGCTTCCACTTACTTTCAAGCACATATTGTATACAATTGCTTCCACTTACTTTCAAGCACATACTGTCTACATTTGCTTCCACTTACTTTCAATCACATACTGGAGACATTTGCTTGCCACTTTTACTTTCAAGCACATATTGTATACATTTGCAAATCCACCTTCTTCTTGACTTACATCCTATGTGACTTGTGACCTCTACACTTACAACCACTAAAAATAAGTAAATAAAAATTAGTATGTAAAGAAATATAACTCTATTGGTATGGTTAAAAAGTTCCCAGAACTGATGCATTAGAGTACATATTATATATCCTTCACATTATTTACAATAATTATATGTACACAGATTGAATTTTAGTACTTTATGTACAGTTTGTATAACCCTTTAGAATGAAAATAGTGTTATAAAATAGTGTTACAATTTTAACTTATGACCAGTTCGACTTATGACCTGTTAGTTGAAATTGGACTTGACTGTAAGTCGAGCAGACCCCATAACCTGTTTCTGTGTTCAGATAAATGTAGTCCCCTGGCACATACGGCCATTAGAGTGTGAACTGATTGGTCTTCACGCATTCTAGGCCATGATACATGAGGTAGAGGGTCAGTTCCCTTTCTTATCACCTTTCTCTCCCAAACTGTTTCCAGAAAATTCTAGAAATCGTGAGGCTGGGTCCAACCCAGAGCTTCCATATGTGACTTCTGAGGCCCCTTCTGGGTGGGGTGGGGTGGGAGGGAATTAGACCCACCTTCCTAAGAAGCATGTCATAAAATGTGTCTAATCCTGGATTTGTCCTTTGAAGTCAGAGTGCGTCTGCTTGAGTTGTGAGGAAACAACAGACTGCACACAGGTAGGCAAGATCTGTAAATAAATTCAATTTGTGGATCAAGGCTGAAGTCTAGAAGTAGATGAACAACTAGAACTTTCTGTTGGAGTTTGCAGTCGAAGACTAAGTTTGTTGTTTGTTTTTAGTATCCAGAAACCATTATTTGTTAACCCTTAGGCTCGGTATTATGGATATCGCAACATTTCAGCCTTGATTCCATTGTAAATACCGTAAATCTGGAAGAAAATGTGGCTTTCCTGCCTACCCCCAGGATTGAACCCGGACCACAAGGAGTTCGTCACCCGGTCTCCCCGCAATTCGGTTTAGCTAACTACACTAGAGAGCCGGGCGTCATAGACTAAGAAGAACCTAGAGCTGTACTGATTAGAAAGAATTCCTCTACTTATAGAGATTTTATCTGGGCCACTGTCTTCCAGAGAAGAAGATTTCTGTATTGTCTGTTTTAAAATAATGAATGACAGACTTCATTTTATTTCAACAGGTTTGATTTTTACCCCTCTACATATGAGCTACCAGTAAGTCAAATGTTAACAGTCTACTTTCTGTTCTATGTATTAGTGAATTTATCTTATAATTCTCACTATGGACTGTATCATTTAATTTACTGTTTATTTTGCTCCTCATTTCTGTTAATGAGCATCATCATTATCTTCCTTGTCTGACATCAAGTGTTGTGAGGAGGATTAGTTAGTAGTCCAACATTTGATGGATGGCACTTGTCATTCCATGAACAATGTCACCTTACCAAGGATTGGAACCCGGGTATTCCAAATGAGAGCCCAGTATTCTGACCAGCCACTCAGCCAGATAGTTTTAGGGACAAAATGGTGGTTAACTGAGTTTATGCTTTCAAAATATCTCAACCACTTTAATGAATTGGGCTTACAAAATATCTAGACCACATTATTGCTTTATACTTACAAAATACTTTATCTTAACTACTTTATTGTTTTGTGCTTAAAAAAATTTCTTAACCACTTTTTTATTTTATGCTTACAAAGTATCCAAACTAGTTTACTATTTTATGCTCACAAAATATCTAAACTGCTTTAATTTTTTGTGTTTCTTTACACTGAGTGCATCTTTTCTAATTATGTCTTTTCGTCACAAACCTGTAAACTTTTCTCAGTCTGACATTTGATAAGTTTCCTCTACTATCTTCAACAATATGCACAATGTACATGATTCTAGTTCTGGGAGCTGGGGTGGTACAGTGGCTAAATACTTGCTTGCTCCCCCCCCCCCACCCCTAAAGGTCTTGGGTTCAAATCCACATCAAGCCAGATGTTTTAATAAATGACCTTGCCTCCCAGGTCAACCCAAGCTAACAGTTAAGTGTAATATCCTGGGAAGAAAAGCCAGTGCGAAGTTTACCACATCACCCATCGAGCCCCAAATGATCTGTACAAAGTATATGTCTTATACAGTGATTCCCAAACTGTGCTCCGCGAAGCCCTGGGGAGCCGCGACCTCTTCACAGGGGCAACGCAAAAATTTGCGAAGATACGCAAGATTTTTTTTTTTTAAACTCTTACATATGAATAGTCATACCTATACTTAGGTTAGGTGATATTCAACAGAGATGGTATATAAACTTAGGTTAGGCTGCCATGGACATATTTTAATTGAAAAAAGGCACCGTGACTAAGGAAAGTTTGAGAAACACTGTCTAACACCATATACCAATTCACAAATAGCATTGTGTATCTGATTTCATTATTTCAAATATATTTAAAGTGGGAAGATTGACTGCATCACACTGGATTATTATCCCCTATGGATTGGTCTCCCTGCACAAAGCATAAATTTTCTTCAGAGAATGTTGCACAATGTATGCAACTCTGTAGCTCCAGTGACAACCCCTATGCAACTGTCTGAACTGTACTGAGATGGGTTCATGGGAACAGGATGTCTTGGGCTGTGTTGCATGGAGAAAAAAAAATCAGGGAGGAAATGAGGATAAAGTATAAATGGAATGCAGATAGACTGAAAGCTTTGCATCTGCCATGAAGCATATGAAATATGGTTTAGGTTTAGACGACATATCAACAACATGGCACAAGGGTTGTAACCCACAAGTGCTCCGTTCTACTTCTGACTCAAGCCTGAGTCCGAAGAATCTCAGCGTAGTGCATGAACTTTAGTGCACTAGCGAGGATCCGGAAATACTTTTGGTAGATTTTAAACTCAAGATGTTGCCTGGGGCAGCTCCATCAGGCTACTCTTTTTTGATTTCCAACTGCCAAGGGATTTATTACGTACACAAAATCACACACAGTCGTCCGTTCTTATTACCCAGAAAACAGGGGAAATTACTAGAAGTCCACGTGAAAATATCCCAGCCTTCACCAATGCTAGAACCCAGGACCTCAGGCACTCGAGGCGGAAGCCATGCCTCTAACCCACACAGTCCCCAAATGGTCCTCAAATCTGAGGCTTTAAGCACAGAATAATTGTCGTAGTCTTGCTAGTTGTACTGACCAGGGCAAGGGCTGTGCTTCCATGGCTTCCTGTAGCACATTATAACACTATAACACATTATAACACATTATAATAACACTATAGCACATTATAACACTGTAGTACATTATAACACTATAGCACATTATAACTCTATAACACATTATAATAACACTATAGCACATTATAACACTATAACACATTCTAATAACACTATAGCACATTATAATACTAAAGCACATAATAACACTATAGCACATTATAACACTATAGCACATTATAACACTATAACACATTATAACACTATAACACATTATAACACTATAGCACATTATAACACTATAACACATTATAACACTATAGCACATTATAACACTATAACATTATAAGACTATAACACATTATAACACTATAGCACATTATAACACTATAGCACATTATAACTCTATAACACATTTTAAAAACACTATAGCGCATTATAATACTATAACACATTATAATAACACTATAGCACATTATAACACTGTAGCACATTATAACACTATAACACATATTATAACACTATAACACTATAGCACATTATAACACTATAGCACATTATAACACTATAGCACATTATAACACTATAGCACATTATAACACTATAGCACATTAAAACACTATAGCACATTATAACACTATAGCACATTAAAACACTATAGCACACATTATAACACTATAGCACATTATAACACTATAGCACATTATAACACTATAGCACATTATAATTTGGAGATAAGATCCAAAGTATGCTCACCACCCGTGACCTTTCCAGTGAAGCTTGCCACTCTGCTCAAAGCATCCCTGTCTTCACCTTTTTCAGCATGCTTTCAGAATCTGTTACAGATACGACATGTGTATGCATCTTGTTCTCTAGCATCTAGACATATGAAAACGTCCTTTCCTTTTGTGTGTGTCTGCTTCCAGTCAGAGTACCATATTTGTGTGTGTGTCTGCTTCCAGTCAGAGTACCATATTTGTGTGTGTGTCTGCTTCCAGTCAGAGTACCATATTTTTGTGGAGGAGTTCAAGCGCAGTCCAGGAATGATCTGGATCATGAAACCTGCAGCTAAGTCTCAAGGTCGGGGAATTTTCCTTTTCCGTAAGCTCAAGGAAATCACGGATTGGAGAAAGGTTTGTTTTGTAATTTAGACCTATTTCTTTTCATTAATCTTTTTATCATTTTATCCTTTATATTTCCATTATTATGAAGTTGATTTGTTTATTTTAAATTTATCTGAAATAATGCATTTCCTCATTGATACAGTGTAGGAAGCATGAGTGATGGAGTTCTTCTCAAATGTTATAACACGTGCGCGCACATGCGCACACACACACACACACACACACACACACAGAGAGAGAGAGAAAGAGAGAGAGAAAACAGTCCTATTGCAGACATTGTAATAACAATGTCTGCTATACATTACATTGTAATGTCCCCCCCCCCCCCCCCCCCCCCCCCCCCCCCCCCCCCCCCCCCCCCCCCCCAACCAAGAAAAACATCCACCATTGGTTTTTATGAAATTGTCAATTCAACAGATTATCTGGTTTGTCCTAATTGTTTAATTTAGCTAGATTGATTTATGTAGATTGTCTGGGTTGCCTAGATTGTCTAGTCTGTCTAGATTGTCTAGTACAAATTTTTATGAGGCTATATCAACTAGAGATCTGTACTGGCTGAAAAGCATCAACCTGCATCTTTTGGAGATTGAACCATGACCGCTATCTTAGCGGGCAAGTTGACTAACCGCTCCACCAGTAGGGCTCCAAAAATCAGAAATATTGTTGCCTAAATCAGTGACAAGTAAGACAAAGAGTCAAACATGAAAACAAAAATGAGGGGATATAATATTTACAGAAATGCATCTCAAAGTTCAAGGAAGTAGATTTATGGATTTAAAACATGCATGTCTTTATCAGCATCATGTGCTTATTGTCTGATAAACATGGACATCTCTGTCTCAGATGATGACTGTCGCTAGCACCTTCTCGCCTTCGCAGATGATATCGACTCTTACCAAATGGTTTCTGGGGAGGCAGGGGGTCTATTCTTGTTTTCCCCACAATGGGGTTTTAGAACCCATATGGGGAGCACACTGGTTAGACGAGACAACTTTCTGGAAACTTCTCCTTGAAATAAGATCATTTACCGAGGCAATAATGAGGCCTGACTTACCTTCTTGATGGCAAGTGTGATGAATAACATGCTAGCGCAGTCAATAGGAGACTCGCTTTCAAGTCCAGCTGTGACTCGCTGCAGCCCACGGCCAGTGTTCGAAACCAGGCAGTTCCCGGGGATTCACCCAGCCTCAAGGGAATGGGTATCAGAGTTAACACTCTGGGGTAAATGGAGGAAAGTCACTGTAGCTACGGAGTTGCGTGCGGACAGGAACACAAGCGGACAGTTTCTTATCAGCTGTCTGTACTGGTGGCAGAGCACTTATGGTTTAAAACCATATCATAAAACTTATATCATAAGTCTGGGCATTATGGCAGAGACCCAGTATTGCCCATTCAGCATGATCCCTCGCTAGGCATGCTTTGTTTATTCCGAGGTAATGCAACACCAGTAGGTTTTAGAACAAAGAATGCTGTAGAAGCTGCCAGATCAGAAAGCAGTCCTCTGCCTATTGGTGGACTTCTCTTAGGCCACTTGCCAGATCAGAAAGCAGTCGTCTACCTATTGGTGGACTTCTCTTAGGCCACTTGCCAGGTCAGAAAACAGTCCTCTGCCTATTGGTGGACTCCTCTTAAGCCCTGGCAGAAGTTGGATGTGTGGAGGTGATATCACAGCCATGCTGTCAACACGCGCAGCTGTTTTACATCTTCATATGAACTCAGTAGAAAAAGAAGAAGGAAGAAGAAGAAGAAGAAGATTTTTAACATCTTCAACACAGAGCTATAGTTGTACACATTTATGATAAGGTAATCATTACTTTGTGGGAAACATATGTGCAGTCAGCCTGTACTGTCACATCCTGTAGCTGACAATATCTTGTCTTCGTATCTATTATACCTGCAGAGTTTGGGGGGGGGGGGGGGGCGGGCGGCTGGTAGTGTAGACGTGTTTTTGGGGGAAATACGGTTGAAATGTTGAAAGTATCATGGAACGGTAAAAACAAACTTGATAGTGCTCTTCAAGCAGTTAAAAACTAAAAGAACAATTAGACGGTCACTATCTGTGAACTGCTTTATGAAAGGACTGGACTCAAAAACTTCATGACAGGTGGCCAAATTGATGGGAAAAGAGGACGTGGAAGGCAAAGAGATGCATACCTGGATAGCTTGGCTGGATGGTTGTGGCAGGACAAGAGCACTGATCTGATCCAAGCTTCTAGTGATCATGTAAGTTGGTGAACCAAGACTGCCCTTAGATGTATTGGTGAGGAACATGATGATGATGATGATGATGTTAAAAGAACAATTAAATATGTAGATCCTATGTGTGTGCACTTGGGTGTATGCTTGTATGTGCAAATTATGACATCTTTAAATTCCCCCTTTTTTTAAAACTTTACAGGGAGAGTATCAGCCATTGTGTGATCCAAACATTGCCAAAGATCTGCCAGAAACATATGTGGTGCAAAGATACATTGACAACCCATATCTCATTGGTGGTCGCAAGTTTGACATACGTATCTATGTCTTGGTGGTATCAGTAAGTTCTCTTATTGTTGTTCTTCTTCTGCCTTTCATCTCTGAACTGAGCATTGACATCACATCCGTCTGACCAGCGCAGTTAATATCAGAATGTGTAAAACAGAAAACATCTTCTCCTTTCTCTCTTTGGATGGAGCTTTCTAGTCATGGTTTGTGTTGTGTTATGTTGCTTCTTGTTTTCAGCATGGCTACTGTGCAGCCCTGTGCAACATATCTTAGAGAGCTTTTGTTCAATCATAGAGTAGTTTGCCACCCATTGGAGTGGCAGCAGCCAGTCAGTCACTCTGCTCATTTTCCAGCACATCTGCATAAATATGTGTAAAAATCTATCAAATGATACAAGCCACTCAGAACACAGCATGCCAGTTTGTATTGTCCAAAGCTATTCAAGTAGACACTTTGCTTAGTAAATCAAGCCATGCAGTCATTTCCCCCATTCACATTAAAATACAATTTATTTTAATTAGTTCACCTAACATCTAAGGTAGTTCAACTAATATTTGAGGTAGTTTGTCAAACATTTGAGGTAGTTTACCTAATATATGAGGTAGTTTAACTAATATTTGCAGTAGATTAGCTAACATGTATGGTAGTTTGCCTAACAGTTTAACTAATATTTGCAGTAGTTTGCCTAACATTTGCTCTGAATTCACTCTTGCAGTACAACCCCTTGAAGGTCTGGTTATATAGAGGTGGTTTTGCCAGATTTTCAAATACGCGGTTCTCCCTGGACTCAATTGAAGACACCTGTATCCTTGTCATTGCAAGTAATTTGGCTTTAAATGTCACGTGATAGCAATATAATCTGAGTATTTAGCATTTACATTTTTGATGGAACTTTGCAAGTTTCTTGGATTTCTTTTAAGCTTTCTAAGATGCCGTTGGCGGGTGGTTAACTGTTCTGCGGAGAGATGCCAAGACATACAGGATAAAAACCTGGCGCATTAAAAATGGATCCTCTTAACTTTAAACTCCTTTTTAAACATTCCATGACAAGTAGTATCAGTCAGACCGCCTCAGTGCATCAGTCAACCGTCAGTCCCATCAATCAGTGAGGCAACCATTAATCACTGAGGCAACCGTAAGTCCCATCAATCACTGAGGCAACCGTCAGTCCCATCAATCACTGAGGCAACCGTCAGTCCCATCAGTCACTGAGGCAACCGTAAGTCCCATCAATCACTGAGGCAACTGTCAGTCCCATCAATCTCTGAGGCAACCGTAAGTCCCATCAATCACTGAGGCAACTGTCAGTCCCATCAATCACTGAGGCAACCGTAAGTCCCATCAATCACTGAGGCAACCATCAGTCCTATCAATCAGTGAGGCAACTATCAGTCCCATCAATCACTGAGGCAACCGTCAGTCCTATCAATCAGTGAGGCAACTATCAGTCCCATCAATCACTGAGGCAACCGTCAGTCCCATCAGTCAGTGAAGCAACCGTCAGTCCCATCAATCACTGAGGCAACTGTTAGTCCCATTAATCACTGAGGCAACCGTTAGTCCCATCAATCACTGAGGCAACCGTCAGTCCCATCAATCACTGAGGTAACCGTCAGTCCCATCAATCAGTGAGGCAACTATCAGTCCCATCAATCACTGAGGCAACCGTCAGTCCCATCAGTCAGTGAAGCAACCGTCAGTCCCATCAATCACTGAGGCAACCGTCAGTCCCATCAGTCAGTGAAGCAACCGTCAGTCCCATCAATCACTGAGGCAACTGTTAGTCCCATTAATCACTGAGGCAACCGTTAGTCCCATCAATCACTGAGGCAACCGTCAGTCCCATCAATCACTGAGGTAACCGTCAGTCCCATCAATCAGTGAGGCAACTATCAGTCCCATCAATCACTTAGGCAACCGTCAGTCCCATCAATCACATAGGCAACCGTCAGTCCCATCAATCACTGAGGCAACCGTCAGTCCCATCAATCACTGAGGCAACCAAGGGATTATGGAGCTGTTGCACTGGTACTGGGAATAGTGTCTACTATGACTGTAAAGTCCAATGCTGGGTGTGGCATTCTCTGTCGCATAGTCTACATACAAATGTTGATACTGGTTCTACTAAGGCTGGTTTTCTCTCAGTTGTATAGCACCATGGACATGGATAGCAGATAGTCTTATAGCAGATAATCTCATAGCAGATAATCTCATAGCAGATAATCTCATAGCAGATAATCTCATCGCAGATAATCTCATCGCAGATAATCTCATCGCAGATAATCTCATCGCAGATAATCTCATAGCAGATAGTCTCAGTAAAATGTTAGGCTCTTGCACGTTCTACATCATGATACATGAACTGGGAAAGGCAGTTTACTTCTTTATCATTTTCCTTCTCAGGCGTATCTCACAAAGTTTTGGAAATTATCTGATACTCCTTTCAATAAGGTTATATTGTATGTTCATTCTAATGGAAAATACAATGTTAGATGAGATAACATATTTAAGGTTTTGGTGAGTTTGGACTTGAGCATAGATCCAGCAAGAAATGACATATGAGAGGCGGACTGCAATATGTGTACAGCCTGTATGCTACTGTCTACACCTTAAGACCATCTATGGGTATACCTGGTGTGCTATGATGTTAATTCTTAGACCTATCAATGTGGGTTCTGAGGCCCTATGGTGGGAGAATGAAAAGAATAGATGATCCATTTACTCTCCCCCCATACAGGCATGTTGCAAAAGTAAACTAATCAGGGATGTTACCTTCAATGCTGCAGTGCATCTGCCTCAGAAGCTATAAACCAACAGGCTGTGCAAAAGTAAATTAGGTCTGCTCTACTGCGTTTGTTCACTCAGAACTCATTATCTGGAGCAAGACTTTCTCCCAGAGTTTACAGCAAGTAAATACAGAGAAGAAGAAGAACATTCTGAAATCAGTAATCACTTCATTCCAACCCTACTGTCAGAGCACAAGCAGTCACTCATATTTATCTCCTTTTTTCACTTTACCCGCTGTAAACTCTGGCGGAAAGTTTTGGTTGTTCGTCCACTTCCTATTCCAGAACCTGCTTTTTGCGTGTGCATCCGTTTGTTGACAGATCTGACTAATTTGTATGCAGACTGCTGGTTCCTTGCACTCTGACTTTGTCTATTCTTGTTTTCCCTATATTAGGGCCCTACAACCCACACAGGAAACTCATATTTATGATTGTCTGTGCAGACTTGGTCTGGCTAAGAAATTCCTAGATAGTTTGACAACTGTTCCTTAACTGCTGTGAGATATCCATCTGACAAACGTTGCTGTTCAGAAAACATCCCCAGATTATGATCCAGAGAAAGGATGCAAATGGTCGGCTCAACAACTTCGGAAGTATCTGGTGGGAAAACATGGTTTGCAAATAGTAGGTTTGTGTTTTTATTGTCTGAGTAGACATAAGAATAAGTGCAATATGACATAAGAAAACATAAATAAGAATAAATACAATGTGCATTTCTAAACATTTTATAATTATAATTAGTAAATACAATGCAACATTAAAAGAATTAAAATTGGAATAAATACAATGTGATGTGAAAAAACATAAAATAAGAATAAATACAATGTGACATAAAAAAACATAGATAAAAATAAGTACAATGTGACATGAAAATATAAAATCAGAATAAACACAATGTGACATGAAAAAAACATAAAATAAGAATAAATACAATGTGACATGAAAAAACATAAAACGAGAATAAATTCAATGTGACATGAAAATATAAAATCAGAATAAATACAATGTGGTATGAAAAAAACATAAAACAAGGACAAATACATTGTATGAAAAAACATAAAACGAGAATAAATACAAATGTGACATGAAAATATAAAATCAGAATAAACACAATGTGGTATGAAAAAAACATAAAACAAGAAAATATACATTGTATGAAAAAACATAAAACAAGGACAAATACATAGTATGAAAAAACATAAAACGAGAATAAATACAATGTGACATGAAAATATAAAATCAGAATAAACACAATGTGGTATGAAAAAAACATAAAAGGACAAAAACATTGTATGAAAAAAACATAAAACAAGGACAAATACATTGTATGAAGAAAACATAAAATCAGAATAAACACAATGTGATATGAAAAAAACATAAAACAAGGACAAATACATTGTATGAAAAAACATAAAACAAGGACAAATACATTGTAACATGAAAAAACATAAAACAAGAATAAATACAATGTGACATGAAAATATACAATCAGAATAAACACAATATAGTATGAAAAAAACATAAAACAATGACAAATACATTGTATTAAAAAAAAACATAAAAAAGGACAAATACAATGTATGAAGAAAACATAGAACAAGGACAAATACATTGTAACATGAAAAAACCTAAAACAAGGACAAATACATTGTAACATGAAAAAAACATAAAATGAGAATAAATACAATGTGACATGAAAACATAAAATCAGAATAAACACAATGTGGTATGAAAAAAACATAAAACAAGGTCAAATACATTGTATTAAAAAAACATAAAAAAGGACAAATACATTGTATGAAGAAAACATAAAACAAGGACAAATACATTGTAAAATGAAAAAACATAAAACAAGGACAAATACATTGTAACATGAAAAAACATAAAACAAGGACAAATACAGTGTAACATGAAAAAACATAAAACAAGGACAAATACATTGTAACATGAAAAAACATAAAACGAGAATAAATACAATGTGACATGAAAATATAAGATCAGAATAAACTCAATGTGGTATGAAAAAAACATAAAACAAGGACAAATACATTGTATGAAAAAAACATAAAACAAGGACAAATACATTGTAACATGAAAAAAGCATAAGAATAAGAATAAATAAAATGTGACATGAAAAAAAACATAAAATAAGAATAAATACAATGTGACATGAAAAAAAAACATAAAATAAGAATATATACAATGTGACATGAAAAAAACATAAAATAAGAATAAATACAATGTGACATGAAAAAACATAAAATAAGAATAAATATAATGTAACATGAAAATATAAAATCAGAATAAATACAATGTGACATGAAAACATAAAATCAGAATAAACTCAATATGGTATGAAAAAAACATAAAACAAGGACAAATACATTGTAACACGAAAAAACATAAAACAAGGACAAATACATTGTAACACGAAAAAACATAAAATGAGAATAAATACAATGTGACATGAAAAAAACATAAAATAAGAATAAATACAATGTGACATGAAAAAAACATAAAATAAGAATAAATACAATGTGACATGAAAAAAAAAAACATAAAATAAGAATAAATGCAATGTGACATGAAAAAAAAACATAAAATAAGAATAAATGCAATGTGACATGAAAAAAACACATAAAATAAGAATAAATGCAATGTGACATGAAAAAAACATAAAATAAGAATAAATACAATGTGACATGAAAAAAATTAAAATAAGAATAAATACAATCAAGCATATGATGCTGATCCCACATTTTGTACAGACCAGTGGGCACCTGAAGAATGATGTGTCAACGTCTTTGCTGGCCACAATTATTTCCCTGGTTTTTTTTTTTAGTACCCACTTTAGGCAGTATCAGACTGGGAGCTCAGATTAATTGTAAAAATCTGCGTCAGTGTGGACTCAAAACCCATGACATTTGAACCAGTATGCAGGCATCTTGCAAGTATTTGTTGATAGATTTAATATTATTGAAAACAATTATTATATTTGGCTGCAATATTTAGGGTAGCTCCCACTCCTAAAATATTATAGGAGCTTAGGCCCCCACCCTACCTACCCCCCCCCCCCATGACTTCTGTGCAGGGCACCCCTGATTAGGCAGCAGCTATGACTTTCTGAGCCTGAAAGATGTGCTCAAACTGTGAGTAAACCTCATCCATGCCCATGACACACTGAAGAGTTTACCTGCACACATTTCAGGTGAAGCAGTTGGCCGCAGCGATAGACAACATCATCATCAAGAGCCTGCAGAGTGTCCAGAAGATCATCATCAATGACAAGCACTGTTTTGAGATGTACGGCTATGACATTCTCCTGGACGAACAGCTCAAGCCGTAAGTTCTTCATCATCATTATCATCCTCTTCTTCTTATAGTCCATGTGGTGTGGCGCTGGTATTCATCTCTATCCACAGCCTTCTGTCTTGTGTACTTTCTATCAGTTCTGATACAAATGATCTGCCATGTTATGATGTCAAACTGTCCAGCACGTTCTCTCTGTCTCCTTCTGTCTCTTCCCCCCCCCCCCCCCAACCCATTCAGCATCATAATCATTATCACCATCCACTTTTGTAGTCATGTGTCTGGTAGGAGAGTTGTTGGTGGTCCGTGGGTGAAACTGGTTTCTGTTGTTCTATCTGAATATGAGCAGGCTTTAATGCCATCAGTTCAGATTCTTCTCAGGACCCTTGTTGATTTCATATCAGCTCTTCTTAGATGTAGCATGTTTTGGTAACTGTATAAAGTGTTGAGGGTTGAGCTAAGAATTGACATCACAGCACTCTGGACATTCCCATAAGCGCTGCATTCTCATCTACAGCAGCCAGTGAAGATTTCCAGCTCTTATGGTGCCAGTAGTAGTTTGATTATACGTCCGTCTTGTCTCTCCTCTGAATGTAGAGTATTGACCGGATGCCCTAGTGACACATACCTACACCATTGTCTCCAGACTATAATGATCTATTCGTGCATCTGCACTGTTCACTTGCTGCCAAAGGCCTTGACTACATCCAGCATGTAATGCATGAATTCACCACCCATTGGGGCATTCTGACAATACCTGTCTAAAGAGTAGAAAGAGATGTCAGCATATGGTACGTGGAACATAATACCTTATACCAAGCAGGAAAGTTTGACTGTATGGTATGGGGAACATAATACCTTATACCAAGCAGGAAAGTTTGACTGTATGGTATGTGGAACATAATACCTTGTACCAAGCAGGAAATTTTGACTTATGGTACGTGGAACATAATACCTTGTAACAAGCCAGAAAGTTTGACTGTATGGTATGGGGAACATAATACCTTGTACCAAGCCGGGAAGTTTGACTGTATGGTATGGGGAACATAATACCTTATACCAAGCAGGAAAGTTTGACTGTATGGTATGTGGAACATAATACCTTGTACCAAGCAGGAAAGTTTGACTTATGGTACATGGAACATAATACCTTGTAACAAGCCAGAAAGTTTGACTGTATGGTATGGGGAACATAATACCTTGTACCAAGCCGGAAAGTTTGACTGTATGGTATGGGGAACATAATACCTTATACCAAGCAGGAAAGTTTGACTGTATGGTATGTGGAACATAATACCTTGTACCAAGCAGGAAAGTTTGACTGTATGGTACATGGAACATAATACCTTGTACCAAGCAGGAAAGTTTGACTGTATGGTACGTGGAACATAATACCTTGTACCAAGCAGGAAAGTTTGACTGTATGGTACGTGGAACATAATACATTGTACCAAGCAGGAAAGTTTGACTGTATGGTGTGTAGAACATAATACCTTATACCAAGCAGGAAAGTTTGACTGTATGGTACATGGAACATAATACCTTGTACCAAGCAGGAAAGTTTGACTGCATGGTACATGGAACATAATACCTTGTACCAAGCAGGAAAGTTTGACTGTATGGTACGTGGAACATAATACCTTGTACCAAGCAGGAAAGTTTGACTGTATGGTACGTGGAACATAATACCTTGTACCAAGCAGGAAAGTTTGACTATATGGTATGTGGAACATAATACTTTGTACCAAGCAGGAAAGTTTGACTGCCTAATTTCTGAGGTAGAAAATGGGAATTTGGATATCTTGGATTATCAGAAAAAAGAGGATAGATTATAACGAAAAAAAGAGGGATGAATGTATATTTATTGTTCTGAAAGTAGTAAACTTATCAAAGGTCTTAATAGTCATGGGACATGTAAATGCAAATATGGGGAAAATGAAACAGTAAAACTGTAGGGCAATATGCCATTGCAATAAAGAATGAGGGGAGACAGGCTGATAGTTTTTGTGAAGAGAACCAGCTCATTATTTGTGATACTTTCTTTTAACATTCACTTAGGAAACTGTCTCTGGGGAAAAGCCTTTGAGGTAGAAGTAGAAACCAGACTGATTGTATTATGATCAGAAACATATTTTAAAAACAGGATTAGGAATTCCACATCATACCCTGGTGCAGATATTAACTTGGATTATAACCATGAGGTTATAAAAAAAAATGCACAAGACTTACAAACACTGGTCAAAAACATAAATAGAATCCCAAATAGACATATCAGCTGAAGCATAAGTCAGCAATATCTGGTGGAAGTGAAAAATACATATGATAAGCTAATGGTCCAAAGCGTGGAACAATATTGGCATGAAAATCCGGAGTAGAAATTCAATAGAAAATGGGAGTGTTTCAGAACTACCTAGCACACAAACAGCTAATACCAAATTACCACTGAAAGAAAGAAAAATCAAGTATGGATGATTGAAGCAATATTGAGTCAAATGATACAAAGAAAGAAAACAAAAACACTCTTGAATTTGCAATAAAAGACAAGGAAATACATAGTGTAAAGGTAAAGGTAAAGTCGGGATGCAAGAAGTTAATGATGGACTTGCAATCTACCTTGACCGTGAAGAGTTGCAGACAGTAGACCATTTTACCTATTTGGGATCCACAGTAAGTAACAAACTATGGCTGGATCAAGAAATCAGCATCAGAATAGGTAAGGCAGCAACAACAATGAGCAGTTTAAAATAAAGAGTTTGGGAGAACAGAAAGCTCACTATTGAAACAAAAACTCTTGTCTATCAGGCTTGTGTTCTCAGCACTCTGCTTTATGGCAGTGAAACTTGGTCAAAGTATTCGCACCAGGAATACCTAAATAGCTTTCACATGCCATGCCTAAGAAGAATACTTGGCATTAAGTGGCAGGACAAAATCACAAACACTGAGGTACTGGAAAGAGCAGGTACTACAACAGTCTTCTCAATGCTCAGTCTACGAAGGCTCAGGTGGCTGGGTCACACCTGGAGAATGGAGGATGGAAGAGTCCCTAGAGACATTTTCTATGGCAAATTAAAAAGGGTAAAAGATGTCGTGACCAACCTCTACTACCACAAAAAAGATGTGTTTAAGCGGCACATGAATGATACAGGTACTGAGGTGGACTCATGGGAACAAAATGCCATGGACCATGTTGTGTGGAGGGGGCATGAAGAGAATGAGGATGAAGCAAGAAACGATTGCAGAAAGGATGAGAACTGAACGTCTGAGAAAAAACAAACTAGACACAAATGTTGACATCATTGGTCCTGAAGTCCCATGCTATAACTCAAAGACTTTTCTTAATGCGGGCCAGTCTTGCTAGTCACACTCGCCATCACCATGGGCTGTGAGTCCCATGTCTCCTCGTTGCTCAATATAACACTATCGTCTGGAAAGTTGCCAATGAATGAAAAATAACTGTAACTGTCTGCCCACAGATGGCTGATAGAAATTAACGCATCGCCTTCACTGACAGCTAGTGGGAAGGAAGATTATGAGCTAAAGTTTGGCTTGCTCAATGACGTGCTGAATGTACTTGATCTAGAAAACAGGTGAGCTTTTGTTTATTTAATGCAACAAGTTTACCTGCTCCTTCAGGAAGTTGCTGCAACATTAGGAAGTTTATCATTGTTACCTTCCTCTTGACCTCCACTCCTTCTTCTTTGCCATCATTGTTTTAATTTTTGCTCCTTCTCCATCTTGTACTTATCTTCACTCCTTTTTGTGATTGTCTTCTTTTTCTGTCCCCATTGTCAGTGTTTTCTTGATAAGACTCAGATCAGGAGCAAACTTGTTGTGGACTTTCTGTTCAGGATATTTAGATGCGCGGGGTAATGAGCAAGCTGGGTAATGAGCAAGCTGGGTAATGAGCAAGCTGGGTAATGAGCAAGCTGGGTAATGAGCAAGCTGGGTAATGAGCAAGCTGGGTAATGAGCAAGCTGGGTAATGAGCAGGCTGGGTAATGAGCAGGCTGGGTTATGAGCAAGCTGGGTTATGAGCAAGCTGGGTAATGAGCAAACTGAGTAATGAGCAGGCTGGGTAATGAGCAGGCTGGGTAATGAGCAGGCTGGGTAATGAGCAAGCTGGGTAATGAGCAAGCTGGGTAATGAGCAAGCTGGGTGATGAGCTACTTTATGATAAAACTGGCGTGGTTAAGGCTGCCTGGGATCAAATGGACAGTACAATAGAACAGAGAATCCACATATTAATGGGGTGAAAAAGGAGGGTGGGGGGGAGGGGGGTAGCGGGTCTGAAAGTTATTCATAGGGGAAAACATAGCCAGACTTTTAAAATCAGGTTGCAACTGTTCTTTTTAGCATTTCAACTCTTCTGTGGCTACTGTGGAGGGAGATGGAGCACGTGTGGGAATGTCCCTAGTGCACGGATGTCCATTCTTGATTTATTCATTGTTATCTTGTCATTTACTTCTTCTTTGTCATTATCCTTATCTTCATCTCCTTCTCTGTCATTGTTATCCTCTTCAACTCTGCTCCTTTTTTTGTCACTGGCATCTTTATCTTCACTTTCTTTATTGTTGCTTTTATTTATATTAGGCTTAGATACTCCATACATCCATCATTAGGTGGGAATACATCCCTGGCTGGGTCCTGGGTCCCACTGTGGTGGGAAGAAAAAACAGACCCACTGCTCCTTTCCCCGACAAGCATGTCGAAAAGGTAGACTAATTAGAGGTATTTCCTTCAAAGTCTGAATGCATCTGCCTAAGAGGTGAGGAACCAACAGTCTGCATACAAATAAGCCAGATCTGTAAAACGAATATGCATGCAAAATAAGTACTGGAACAAGACTAAAGTCCAGAAGTGGGTGAACAGCTAGAACTTTCTGCCAGAGTTTACAGCTCTTGAACATGAAGAAGAAGAAAAAGCTGTGATCTTCTTTTTTTCTACACCTGGAATGCCTCGTGGCCTCAGGACAGGAAGAGATCTCTGGAACGGGCGTTTCTGTTCGCCTTGTATATATAAAGTACTTTTCAATGTCTCTAATATTTCTGCTGTCCATATTCTGCATGGTCGACCTCTGGCTCTGTTACCATTGTATAATATTTTGTTAATGTTAAACTTAGATAATCCATCATTCCTTCACTAACTAGGAAACATATCTGTTAAACAAAGATTGCAGAAAAAAAATATTGCTGTTTATTGCCTGGAATATTTTAAATTAAATAGAACTGCATATTACAGGAATGTATTCATAAGATGAAGTTAATAAATAAATCCTTCAAGTAAAATTAAAAAATAAAAATAAAAATCCCACAGGCATATGTAACTGCTTGATGAGATACTTTGTAATATGCCAGGCAGTAAATGATGCAATCTGCCATTTGTGTCCATTTTGTTCAAACCTGTTAAGAAACTCGCTTTAACCTACACCTTTTATTTTCCTTCTTTATGGTTCTATTGGAAATTTGATTTGGAAAAGACATTCTCAAATCAACTGGCAGGGTTTCTCTTGTGTCCCTTGATATCTGCCACTGTCTGTTTTCTGTCAATATCAGTCTATGCTTACAATGTATTTTCTTGTGCCATTTGTACTACATTAGTCAGTGTCTAGGGAATGATTTCTGTTGTGTGTTTTTTTTAAAGCTTGTATTATATTCATTGCTAAAAGTTGATACAATATTTCATCAATCATCTGACAGCAGATCCTTTACAGAACATCACTCTTGTCGCGCCACGCCTGAAAGTCTCTCTTTTTCTAGCCACTTCTCCAGCCCTGTGTGCTTTTATAGCCAGTGTACCTTCAGTGTCTTATACCTCTGCGGGGTCCGCCTGACTTTCCGAAAACTGTAACCTCCATCACCGTTCTCTGCAGGCCACCACCATGATCTTTAACATGGCCAAAGTCCCCCAGCTTTCAGGACAAGATGCTGTTTATGAGCCAGTTCTCCTCAATGCTCAGATCCTCTAGGATGTCTGTCTTTTTCTACTAAGCTTAAATTATGTAGGTACCTGGGAGGAGGGGGGGGAGGGGGGGGGGGGGGGGGGGGGGGGGGGGGGGGAGGGGGTGGGGGGGGGGGGGGGGGGGGGGGGGGGGGGGGGGGGGGGGGGGGGGGTGGGGGGGGGGGGGGGGGGGTGGGGGGGGGGGGGGGGGGGGGGGGGGGGGGGGGGGGGGGGGGGGGGGGGGGGGGGGGGGGGGGGGGGGGGGGGGGGGGGGGGGGGGGGGGGGGGGGGGGCGGGGGGGGGGGGGGGGGGTGGGGGGGGGAGGATCTCAAGAAACTTTTTAATGCTGTGAGATATTTGGCATACAATGCTGGCCTGCCGACCTGAAGCGCTCTGGTTCAAATTCACAAGGAGGCAAATTCGTCTGAAACTCACCACGGCTCCCAGGTCAACCCAGCCTGAAATAGCTATCAGGTTACCTCCTGGGAAGTAAAGGCAGCCAGCTCACCAAATCGCTTATCCAGTGCTGATCAGTCTATGAAAAGACAAGTTTAGCTAGCATCTTATGTCGGATGTGCCAGAGGTTTGGGAAAAGTCCTTTAGTTTTCCTTACTAGATGTCCGATGTGTTAAAGGTTTTGGAAGAGTCCTTTACTTTTCCTTACTAGATGTCTGATGTGCCAAAGGTTTGGGAAGGATCGTTCACTTTTACCTACTATATGCCTGATGTCCGAAAGCTTTAAAAAAATGCCTTGACTTACTGTACGCATTGAGACAGGTTGACTGGCAAGGAAACAAGAGTAGGCGGCTGGGACCTCCTGTGGGACGATGGCCCTGTTTGTTTGAAGGAATTGATGCTGGAACCCAGCTCACCCACATCTCTGTGTGCCAACTCTTTCCTGGGTAGGTTTTCTTCATTGGTAACTCTATACTATCATCATCGTGTGCACAGCAGGAGGGGATGGGGAGGATGCTTAACTCTTTGAGTCCCAAGGAACGCATCATACGTTCATAAGCTCCTACCTAGAAGCCTAATTAACGCACGATGCACCAATTTTATGACTTTCTTTACTACCCCCTGGGCCTGTGATGATAAACCCCCTGGGACTCAAAGAGATAGGATTACCATAAATTACAGCATATAAGTCTACCTGTCATGCAAGTTGACCTTTAGAGCAATATTTTGAATTAGGTCTGCATCTACCATCTAGGTCAACTCCCAAACATAGGACACCGATATTCTGATCTGTCATAACAGATCAGACCAGGCCTTTAGTGCTTGGTTGCCAGGTGGTCTTGGAGGAAAGCTCTGACAAGCAGATCACTGCTCCTCTGATCCGCAATCTTCTGCAGCATGTTTTAATCCAAACATATCTGTGTTACTTTCCTTTGGAATTAACAAAGCAGGCCAAAAGATGATTTATGCTGCATGGGCAAGATATGGTTTCTACAACATTACCCAGACAAGATATGGTTTCTACAACATTACCCAGACAAGACATGGTCTCTACAACATTACCCAGACAAGACATGGTCTCTACAACACTACACAGGCAAGACATGGTCTCTACAACACTGCCCAGACAAGACATGGTCTCTACAACACTGCCCAGACAAGACATGGTCTCTACAACACTGCCCAGACAAGACATGGTCTCTACAGCACTTCCCAGACAAGACATGGTCTCTACAACACTGCCCAGACAAGACATGGTCTCTACAACACTGCCCAGACAAGACATGGTCTCTACAACACTGCCCAGACAAGACATGGTCTCTACAACACTACCCAGACAAGACATGGTCTCTACAACATTACCCAGACAAGACATGGTCTCTACAACACTGCCCAGACAAGACATGGTCTCTACAACACTACCCAGACAAGACATGGTCTCTACAACACTACCCAGACAAGACATGGTCTCTACAACATTACCCAGACAAGACATGGTCTCTACAACACTGCCCAGACAAGACATGGTCTCTACAACACTACCCAGACAAGACATGGTCTCTACAACACTACCCAGACAAGACATGGTCTCTACAACACTACCCAGACAAGACATGGTCTCTACAGCACTACCCAGACAAGACATGGTCTCTACAACATTACCCAGACAAGACATGGTCTCTACAGCACTACCCAGACAAGACATGGTCTCTACAGCACTAGCCAGAGAAGACATGGATGGTCTCTACAACACTGCCCAGACAAGACATGGTCTCTACAGCACTACCCAGACAAGACATGGTCTCTACAACACTACCCAGACAAGACATGGTCTCTACAACAAGACATGGTGGTCTCTACAACACTGCCCAGACAAGACATGGTCTCTACAACACTGCCCAGACAAGACATGGTCTCTACAACACTGCCCAGACAAGACATGGTCTCTACAACACTACCCAGACAAGACATGGTCTCTACAACACTACCCAGACAAGACATGGTCTCTACAACACTGCCCAGACAAGACATGGTCTCTACAACACTACCCAGACAAAGACATGCAAGACTCTACAAGACACTACCCAGACAAGACATGGTCTCTACAACACTACCCAGCACATGGTCTCTACAAACAAGACATGCATGACATGGTCTCTACAACACTGCCCAGACAAGACATGGTCTCTACAACA